TGTCTTTAGAGCCTAGCACGGTATCTGGTAGATTTGGGGTAATCAACAAACATTTGCTGGGTGAAAGAATGGGACATTGGAAGCTGATGACTCATTGGGTTGTTGAGCTGGATAACTTCCAGATCTTTCCTGCCATTTCCTCCCTGCTCTGTGCCCTGCTCCATGGACTGCCTCCCTAGGCTACATACCTTTGGCCTTCTAGTTGGCTTGAGCCAACTGGAGGCACCATAGGGAGATCAGAGGGTAAGAGGAGAGAGAGGTTAGAGTATTTCTTCCCAGGCTCCCTCCCTTCTGTGCCATTGGTTGGACAATATCGGCACTTATTTCTCAATGTAGGGACATTGTCTCCGCACCAAACTGCCCCCAAGGAGGGCTGGGCACCACTTCCACAGTCACCAGTGGCCGAGGGCTGACACTGCTCGGTGCTCCCATGCATCCCAGAGCCTGACTGGTCTCTTTGGGAGGGTGGCCCAAGACAGGACAAGGCAGCCCCCCTCTCCTCTCTGGGGGCCTGAGGTCCTGAGGTCTAACGTTCTGCCAGCTGTATGTCCTGGGAAGGCAGGGAAGGCCAACACCTGTGGGAAAAGATGTTTATTATTCACATGTTGGCAGGCACCAGGGTCAGGGCCTGGAGGAGCCCTCCGGCTGCTACAGCAGCCGCCCAGGGAAGGGGACGGCTGGGTTCTCCTTCTCCTACCCCGTAAGGTCTGTTGAAAACGGTCTGCTTCTCTCCTTCAGCACCTCTTCTGTCTGTTCCCTCCCCTCACTCCCCCTGCTCTCGTCCTGCAGCAGCTGGCTGGTCTCACCTCTCCCCCGGCCAAGGCATCTCCCCTCCAGGTCTCCTCCCCAGTCTCCTTCCAGCTTCAATCCTATGGGGGGGCTCCTTGTTGCCCTCAGGGGTGCGTTTGGTGTGTTCTCTCCCTCACTCAGGCTCCTTGGTGTGTGGCTCCAAGTGCTGGATGCTCTTCCAGCCTTGAGTGCACAACAGTGAACGGAACAGGCTACTTCCCTGCTCTCAGGGATGGCCGGCCCCCTGGGGCCCCAGCACAGATTACCTGCAAATAAATACACAATTACAAATGATCAAAGGCACTAAGAAGAAAAAAAAGCACACCAAGGAACTTGTACGTCAATTGTATAATTTGGGCTGTATGCAAAGAGAGTAACTTGGGGATATCCGGTGGACAGGGGTCAGAATTTAACAGATCCCGAGGTCGGGTATGTGAGGTTGTAGGTTGAACTGTGTCTCTCACCAAAAGACATGTTGGGGGACGCCTGGGTGGCTCAGTTGGTTAAGCAGCTGCCTTCGGCTCAGGTCATGATCCCAGCGTCCTGGGATTGAGTCCCGCATCGGGCTCCTTGCTTGGCGGGGAGCCTGCTTCTCCCTCTGCCTCTGCTGCCACTCAGCCTGCCTGTGCTCGCTCTCTCTCTGGCAAATAAATAAAAAAAATCTAAAAAAAAAAAAAAAAAAAAAAAGATATGTTGGGGTCCTAACCCCCAAGACCTCAGAATATGACCTTATTTGGAAATAGGATCTTGACAGGGATACATGAGGGACTTAGGGTGAGTCCTAATCCAATAGGACTGCTCTCCCTAGAAAAAGGGGATATCTGGACAGAAAGACACGGACATACAGGAAGAACGCTGTGTGAACACGCAGACATTGGGGCACCGTTTCTGCCAGCCAGGAAGCACGAAGAGTGCCAGCAACTGCCCGAAGGAGGGAAGCATGAGCAGATTGTCTCTGCACAGCCCTTCCGAGGAACCGAGCCGGCACCACCTTGGTTGCACCGGTGGCCTCCAGAACCGGGAGAGAATGAGTTTCTGTTGTTGAACCGTGCGGTCCGTGGTACCTGTGAGGCAGTCTGCACAGACTAGTGTGGCCACCACGGGGGCCTCTGCCCAGCGTGGCTCCGGCTGCTGCCCAGAGCGCTTTCCCACCCTGCACGTGCGTAGACGGGAGGGCTCAAGGTTCTGGAACGGACCTGCCTGTGTCCTCTTCTGAGCTCCTGCACCTGTAGTTGCCCTGTCAGGGATGGCTCTGTAGTCCCCCCACTCCCAGAGATGCCCAGGTCCCCCCAGGCCGTCCTCCTCCAGTCCTCTCAGGGCGCAGACGCCCCTCCCCTCCAGGTCTTCCTTCCAGGGAACAGACTCTGCTCTCAAAGCCTGGGACCTGCATGTCTCTCCACTTTCAGACCCAAATCATATTCAGACCTGAGTAAATAAATACGTGGGTGTCACCCTCGCTAAAGATTCTCACAACCCCTGGAACATTCCCTTAACCTCATTTCATGGCACATCAACTCAGGAAACCAAGGTCTTGCTGCAAATGACTACAACAAGGAAAGCTTTGTCTCTATAACTGGTTATAAAACTAGACTATCCTCAAAATAAAAACACAAAGGCCACCTGGGTGGCTGAGTCAGTATGTGCTCTGGCTCAGGTCATGATCTCAGGGTCCTGGGATTCCAGGTTCCACGGTTCCAGACAGAGCGAGGGGGGATGCAACGCAATTTAGGAACTGGGCCTGGTTGTAACTGGTCAGTCAGGGACTGTGGCTACTATGAGATAGTGGGTCGCTTAACGAGCCTGTGTGCATTCAGCTCGCTGGTCGCTGTGGGCCCTTGTGCCTTGATCAGGTTTCCACTGCTGAAGCCTCTCGCCTGAAAGTGGTCTCTACAGAAACTCCTTGCTCCAGGTCACCTGGACTGGAAGGTGGCTTGACAGGAACCCCATTAGCTCAGTGCCTTTTCCCTTGCTTCCAACCAGACTGAATGTCCTCTGGGCTTTATGCTTATGAACTGAATGTGAACCTGGGGTATTTTCATCACCACACTGCCCCACTTTTGCCATATAAACAATAAAACAAAAACAAAGCCCAATCAAACTGGCCCCAAGGAGTGCCTGAAATCTGGAAAGTGGACCCGAGTTGACCCGGGCCACACGGGCACTGCAGGTGGACCCCCTGGGTAACTACAGAGAGCCCTGAACTCCCTCTCTCCCCGGGATGGTGTGTTTGGGTTGCAGATCTGTGGGGCTGAGCTTGGTCTTCCCCGTGGTGTGGGGAAGTAGATGCCCCATGACCACACTGGTACATAGCAAAAACGCACAGCAGGGATCGGGAACCTGCTGTTCTCTGCCTTCCTGGGAGTTTTTTCCAGCTGTGTATCTGATAAGAGGACATACATTTGAGGAAAAGGACGCGGGAGGAGAGAGCAGGGGCCTAGCCCCATTCAAGCTGGGGTTTCCACCAACGGCTCCCCGACCCTGGAGCATAGGGCCATCGGTTTAGCTGCAGGTGGGACACAGGTCACCCCAGGTCTCCTGTGGCTCAGGGCAGTGCCGGGCTGAGTGCCCATGATGTGGCCCACAGCCTTGGAGATTCTCCCTAACTGGCTTCCTCCCACTATACCGCATACTTTTCTCAGTTTTCTCTTTGTTTTAAAATAATTTTTCCCCAAGTCTTAAGCCATTTCTGTCGGTCTGGGGAGCAGGTGAAGCCGGTTGTCTTTGATCAGAGAGAAGGGCTCTCGCGGCTAACCAAAAGATCCACCCCTTCCATTATACCTCAGTTCCACTTGCCACCTTCACATGATCCTCATCACCTCTCCTCTGCATACCTCTAGGGCCTCCTCCTCGTAGATGGCCTCCCAGCCTGCAGTCTCGGTAGGACATCTTCCTGCAAACCTGGGCCTGGAACCAACAGCTCTCTGGAGACTTCCTCATCTTGCTCCTCCCACTCCTGGACCACCCTGTCCTGGGACATGCTTGCTTTTTGTACTATCAGGCAGCGTGGTGGTGTTAATCTAAGTGCTGGGCTCCCTACAGCTGTTCACACCTCCAGGACTGAATTCAGGTCTTGTGCTTCCTCGAGTTCTAGAAGCTGGTGCAGAGCTGGTGTTTGGTGCTGTATGCGGAGTCTACATTCTACTGGTTGAGCTCTTCTGCCAACATGGTGTGGCCTTGCTCAGGGGGTGGGTCCATGGCCAGCGCTGGGCAAAACTGTGACAAAGGGGCCTCTGGCCCAGGCTTCGTCTTCTCCTGTTCGGTGCCCCCACCCAAGGTCCTGTGCCTCCCTCTACCACCACCATCATTCATCCTCACCCTCCCCATGACCACTGTGGCTGAGCACTCACCTTGTGCCCTTCGCTATGAGACCCTGACTACAGGCGCTCCTTTAATCCTTACCCAGCATATGCTTTCAAAGAACAATCTGGAGTTTGAATTCAAGTTTTGAATTCAAATTCAAGTGTGAAGCTCAATCAGAGCTTGATGTGCCACCAAGGGTGAAGAACAGAGAGGCCACGGCACTGAGACGGTCGTGATGGGATGTGAGGCCTGGTGACCAAAAGGGGAGTCACTCAGGGGAGGTGGTAACCTTCCTGGTCTGGCAAAGCTCCAGGGAATGATTACGGGATAGACTGAAGGACATTTTCTCCTGTGTAGGTGGGGCTTATGGCAAGTTCTGATTGGCTGAGTGCTCGCCGGTGACCCTAGCTGATGGATGACTGAGAAGTCCCTTCTCAGCAGAGGGGTGCCCAAGGTACTCCTCCCAGAAGCCATCCTTCCTCCGTGCTGAGCCCTGCCCTGGGACAGCCCCTGATGGGGCCCAGGAAGAGTAGGGGCTGGAAGCCTGTTTGTGCTCAGCAAATACACCATCTCTGGATGCTGGGGCATCTTAGACCTCACCAAGACACGGGGCTGCTGGGTAGCTCCATCACCACAAGGAGGGTATGTCATAGCATGGCCTTTCCAGTCAGGGGAATGGACCCCCCAGCCCCCAAGGGGCCCCGGTTCACTCTGTGCTTGAACACCTACCTCCCCCTCTCTGGGCCTCCATTTCCTCACCTGTGAGATGAGGTGCAGGGCTATAGGCTCTGCTGAGGCCACCATACGCCCATTCCCCAGTCGTTCTGTGTCACCCCCTGAGGTGAGGAGCAGACAGTGGACACGAGGACCACGGACCACGGTATGTGGTCAGAAGTCAGTGGCAAGAAAATCAAATGTCTGGAAACACTTGGGACTTAAACGATCGACTCCCTAATGTCCCCAGGGGCCAGCTGACGTCAGTGACAGACGTTGTGAGTGGGTAGATGCATCAGTGGTTTTATTGCTGTAACACAGTGACCGGATGGCACCTGGACGCTAACAGGGTGTGAGGGTGAGCAGAACGTCCTCCTTCACCGTGCTTTCGCTGCAGAAGCTGTGCCTGCAGACAGCAATGAAAGCCTCGTGAGTGCTGGCAGCTTTACGTGGAGTTTCCAGTTGTTAAGAAATGTTAATGGCTGATTTTCAATTCATAAGGAAAGAGGGGAACACTAGGGTTGTAGCTTCAACCAGTCCCTGGAGAACAGATTGGAGCTTGTAGCTTCAGGTGGCTGTTGTCTGGGACAAGGTCCCCTGTGGGCTCGTCTGCGACAAGGTCCCCGAGTGGACCCGGTCTCTGGGACCTCAGTCTGACAGGACAGTCAGGACTTGAGACAGCAAATGGACCTCTCACTGGCTTCCTTCTCCACAAGTACCCGTGGGCCCTCCTTGAACATAGCAGACTGGTTTACAGATGGGCTCGCTCTGGACCGAGCCCCTCTGGAAATGGGATTCGACCTTCTAAAAGCGACAGTGAATTGAGCTCCTACTCACTCCTGGCAATGGCGCTGAGCTGTGGAGACTTCACCCTCACAACCCATGTGTGAGGGGGTGTTACCATGAGTCACCCAGAAAAGGAGAGGAGGCTGAGGCACGGAAGGTTCTCAGTGTGCAGAAGAACCAAGGTGCAAAGACAGGTCCAGTGTCACAGTCCACATTGTCCAGGACAGGGTCATCCTTCACATCTCCCTTGACCCTGCCTTCCACACCTGGACTCAGTGGCTCTTTCTCTTTGGGCTCCCCACTCCCTGCCTTCCAGGGGTGACACGGGGCTGGTTACTTGAGTCTCTGAGCCTCCGTGTCTTCATTTGCGGAAGAGGACACATTTCCCTCCCGGGATTGCTGAGAATCCCGTGTTAATAATACAACATGTCATAACAGTAAATGTAAAAATGTATAAATTGATTTAAAACAATGCAGATAGAAGTGACCGTCATGCCTGTTATTCCAAGAACCACAAACTTGTTGAACCTCATCACCTTTGATCTCTGAGGCTTTGCCGGGGTTTCTCCCTCATCTTCACCATGGTCCCTTTGAATTTCATTTGTCTTTCCTTGCTGCCCTGACTCTATCCCTGATCCTACTTCCTGTTCTCCACACCTTGAGCCCTGTCGCCTGTGTTCGGGGCTCCCCCCGCCCCTCACACACCAAGCCCATCGCCCCTGCTCACGTCCTTCCCAGCGGACGTTCCTCAGCCCAGGAGATCCTTGTGGCCCCCTCTCCCCTCCGTCACTGCCTCCCCTGGCCTCCTGGCTCTGCCTTCCTCTCCAGCCATGCTCTTTGGGCTCCTCAGGTGAGTTGTTTCTTCTGTCATTGACTTTCCATGTGAATCTGAGGTCCGTGGTGCTCAACAGCTATTGTGCAAACTCTTTGAGAGCAGGCTCGACCTTTGCATCTCCTACTGTTTGCCAGGCATACAGTAGGTATTAATAAGGTCAGACAGAAGGTGGGGAGAAGATGCTGGAGGCGGGGAAGAAACTGAGAGAGGGAGAACTACATTCTTCTTTTGAAGCCACATCACTGTGGGGAGGAACTCTAGTCAGCAGGCTCCTTAGTAGGACTTGCAATCCTAATGGGGCCGCTGGAAGAATTTGCAGGGTATCTGAGAAGAGCTTGGACTAAACTCTTGATTTTCCAAAGCCTCCCAGTGATGATGCTGATTTTTTTTTAATGTTACTTACTGATTGTTTTACTAACAGCAAAATATTTGAGTAATTTGACAAATTCAACTTTCTTTTTTTTTTTACTTCCCAAACTTATTTGTGATGTTTGATGCTGTTTTGATTGAACTCTATTTTAAGAAACCTGATGTCCAACATCTAGCTTCCCTTAAGATAGATTTCCTCTGCGGTTGACAGGCAGGGGACTCAGGGACTCAGGGACTCAGGGGAAGAAGGGACTCAGGGACTCAGGCCACTGGAGGGTCCAGGTGGCAGTTGATGGACTCAGGGCGTCAGGGGTGGCCTCAAGTACATTCTGTTCCATTTCTAGAAAGTGCAGAAAGTCATGACCGTTCCTCAGAAAACCTGGAAGCTACAATGCCCTGACTGATTTGGTCTTGTATCTCTTTCCTTCTTCAAAATCTGCCTGTGAGCAAGTCATCACCTAGAACACTCTGCATTTTTAAGGTTCTAATGATACCATCTTCTCCTGACACCATTTTAACCACACAGTTCCAGGATCCAGGCTCCGGTCCATTTCCTAACGGGGCCTTGGAAACTCACTTTAGAGGCTTATCGTCCTCTGAGGGGGGTGGGCAGGGAGGCCCTGGGTACACCCGCCGCCCGCAGAAGGCTCTCCACCGGCTTCCTCAGTGCCGTGCTCTAGCTGAGAGAGCCTTGGGCCGCTGACCACCTGGCTGGACCAGTCCCTTTCTCCTCCCTGACTCACAGGCATAGGGAGGACCCCACAGGGGTCATCCAGCCTGAGATGTGACTGTGACATCGGCCAACCCACCCTCGCTGCCTGGGGGAGTCACATTCTCCGAGGCCCGAGTTGAGCAACCTCACCTAACCTCCCAAACCTCAAGACCATCAGTGACCACGTTCCCAGGATCCCCTTCCGCAAAGAGACCCCAGAAGGGTTCTATTGATGACAGTTGTGGTTCCAGCCTTGGGGACAATCACTCTGCTCCCCTCAGGTCACCGTGCCCACATCCCTCCAGCTGTCACAGCAGAGGACACTGAAAGTCAGGATAGAGATTCTATAAGGATCACTACCTCAGCTCTCCCTTGTCCTATCTCAGATTTTATATCTTTTTCTCAAATTTCTTTTTTTATTGGCCTGAAATTTCATGATCTTCCCCTCTTTAAAAGGTAGCTACTCTTTAGCTTATACTTATAACTTTATACCCTCAGAAATTATTTCTTTCTTCTCTCTCTCACTTTTCCTCTTTATCTTTCTTGAAGGCAGGTGATACCGTATGTATCCTTCTCAGATAGGGTTGGGAACACCCAAAAGCAATGCTTTATGCAGCCTGTCAATTGTTTGCCTGCAAAGAAAGGACCCCAGGTGGGTAGATGGTCTTGGCTTTTCTGGCTGAACCATGACTACCCTTGGGGCAACTTTCCGTTACAAACACCAATCTCTACCAACATCCTTAGGCACAAGCCAGCAACGATATACATACACTGTCTTCTCATCTCCTTTCTGCACCGTGATCTTGGCCGCGCCCACTTTGGGGAAGGTTGGGTTTACCACGTGGTTATTCCAGAGAAACTTGACTTTCTCAATCGTTCCAACATCGAGCTTTGCATCAAACTCATTGGTATGGGTAGAGCCTGGTTTGAGAATCCCCCTAGAAATGAAGAGAAACATTCCCATGCATAGAAACAAGCTCTAATGACAGATGAAGGCCAAACCACTTTATTCTACTTGAGATTAATGAGATCAGTTTTTAAAAATTAATTCTCACATAAAGGATGGAGAAATGGAGAAGCCAGTTATATGCCAGCAGCTGCACACTATTATTTGAATATTGTTTTCTCAAACTCAAGTTAGTTTCTACCCAAAATGTTCTTATGGAAAACTATATTATTCCTTCCTATTATTATTTTTTCTGAAATAATTATTTGTATAGTAATAAGTTATCTACTTAGTTTAACCCAACAAGCATGTGTTACTACACTAATCGGGAAATATGACATCTGGGGTAATATTAGATATATTATTTTAAAAATCTATTTTTAAAAATGGATCTACCAAAAGAGAAAAAACTAAATGCCTGGATTTATAATTGAGAAAAGAAAATTGTCAGCAGAAGTCTGAAACTGACTTTACCACCTAAAGTAAATTATTTAAAATCAATTGATAAAGAGACGTTAAGCATTTCAGTACATGGATTGGAAGGCCGTGGACATCAGCCAGTGAGATGAGAGGCTAAAAAAGGAAACTCACCTGAAGACACTAAATTGATGAGTGTTTCCCTTACTTCCAAACAGAGCAACTTTGACCTGACCTGTGGCTGTTTTCCCAGACAGTGTTAGAGAAACCCCGTACCTCCAGCCTGCACAGGGGATAGAAAAGAGTTCAACTCATTCATGAACAAAACGGTTGACCCAAATTTCAGAATCCTGTCCCCACCCCTTACACTAAGGCATCAAAGTATAAGAAGTCCTTCCTGTTAATCTACACCTCAAACCAGGCTCTAAGGAGAAGTATGTCTCTAGCAGTATCCCGCCTAGACCCGTCCTGCCCAGTAAAGGGGCCACTACCCACATGCAGCTGCGTAAATTTAAATGCAAGTTAAATCAGATCAAAAATTAATTCTTCATTCTTACTAGCCACATTTCGAGGGCTAGATTGCCACATGTGGCTACCAGCTGCTGTATTGGACAGCAGAGAACATTTCCATCATGGCAGAAGGTTCTGCCAGGCAGTTCTGCTCTAGAGGGACCGTGCTATGAGAGGAAATGAAAAGAGAAGGGACATGGGCTCGTTCCCACATTGGGAGAGCTGACCCAAGAGTGCAGTCCTGCGGGCACAGGAGCGGGGTCTGGGTCCTATCTGTGCAGCCCCAGGGGCCCAGGTGTGTCCAGCAGAGAGTGGGGCTCAGTTCTTACCCAGCTCTCTGCCTGCCGTGCTGTCTCCGTGCCCACGAGCACACATACACACAACCTACACGCATATAACCACACGCTCACACATACACGCACTCACACACAGGCATACATACACACATAACTGTCCTGCACACACACATAAACACAGGCGCACAAGCACACACACACATGCACACACCCACACATGTACACACACATGTACATAAACACACACATCATTTGCTTCACTCCTACTCGGCTTTCGCATCCTCAGACAGATTGTCCCTGACCCTTCCAGGGTCAGGTCCTCGGTCCCAGGGTGCCACAGCAGTGACCCGCCATGCCCAGGCCGAGTGCGGCTGTTTGCTCAGTTCCCGCCTTCTCTGCCAGGGCGTACATCTCACACATAGACCGCCTCGCGCATCCCTGCATGCCCAGTGTCTAGCGTGGTCTGTGGTCCATAAATCAGTGTTGGTTGAGGAATGAGCATGTGGTTTTTTGAATGTTTCATTTGTTGTTTTAAAATATGGGCCAGCATTTCATGCATCCCTACAGCAGTAGAAGGATTGATGAACCAGTGTCCTTCTTAAAAATATATACAGTGTGGGAAATATTCTACATTTTGATTGCAGAGATGGTTACATGGCTCTTCATCTATCAAAACTCATAGAACTCCACACTGCAGAGAGGGGTGAGTTTTGCAGTGTATAAATTGTATCTCAATAAACCTGACTTCAAAACCTAGATGAGATGTATATTATATTTATGTCTTTCTATAAGCACAGTGTCTTTTTTACAGACATGCAGACTCTTTCCAAATGCTTGGCTGAGTCTTACATGGGATCGTTTGGGCAGATGTGTCCTTTCACTACCAGAATGTGTTCTGAGTATCTCAGGTTAGAGAAAAGCTCTTCTTGTCTATCAGAAGCTAAAGCGTCTTCACGTGGGTGAGCAGGACAAAGTATAACTTACGAGCAAAATTGCTGGAATCCCCTGTGTTCAGGAAGAATTTCTGTGGCTCGCCACTTGTTTTGCTGGCAAATTTATCAGCGTAGTGGCCCATCTGGGGGCACCCTTGATCTGGGCAAGGAAAGCATTTGTTCTAAGGAGAAGAGAGACATCAAGCTATAAGGTGTGAGTCAGTCTTTTTCTGACCCAAGCATCTCAGGGAGAAATTCTCCTACAGCCTGAGTTCCTTCACCTGTAACAGGAAGGAGATCGGGATAGATGATGTCTAACTGACTTTCACCCAGGACAGGACTCCCGAGACTGAGGTACATCCGGTCAGGATATACAGATGCCTGGGTCCCAGGCTAGATCAATGACCCCTCCCATCACGTGATGTGCTGGTGAATGATTAACAGCCGACCCCGGTGAAAAAAAGCCTCCAGCGTAGCCTCTTCCAGTTTCCGTGGTGTAAAGACACCGCTGTCAATTTCAGAGGCCCAAGCCCCGAGCCGGGCATCTAGGACACCAAGCATCCAGCTTTCTGTCTCTCTGGCGTATGAATTCTTCTCTCATACGTTCTTCTGTCCTTGCTCTGTCCTTGCTCTGCCCTTGGCAGAAATGCACACCCCTCTCATCCTCCTAAATTCTATGAGTTTTCAAGCCAGTTTCAAACACTGCCTTTTGCAGGAAACTTTCTAGATCATTGAAAGGATGGGTCTTCTGATTTCCCAGTGTCTTCCTCACCCACATGTCTTATCTGGAATTTTAGCCACCTCCTGCCCAATTTTATTTTTCCCCTCTGCTTGTCAGGATCATAAACTCAGAGGGACAATCCAAGACAAGTAAGGGATGGTCAGACCCTGCAAATGTCCTGGCAGGACAACGGTCCCACAGAGGGACTCAGAGAGGGATGATCACTTACAGACTCAAAGGCCCTGTAGGAAGCACAGGGATACGAAGCAAACCCATCAGGGTTGAGGATGCTCTCTGAGTAATACTTGTAACTTCTCAGGTGATTGCAAGCCACAAAGTCCCGAGTTCCTGGGGAAAGAAAGGAGGAAGTCTGCAAAGGCAGTTGGGGGGCCAAGAATTTCTCTCGTTCCAAATGGACAGGTTCCAAAGTGGAACCACATTTTCAGAAATTTAAGGTAAGGTAAATTTAAGGTAAATCCACAAGAAATGACAGTTAACATAGAGAGCCAGCTTTCCATGTGACAGGCAATGTTCTGAGGGCTCCACATGCATTGTTTCTATAATCCTCGCCTTTCTAGGGCGTGGGTAACATAGCATTCCTAAATACAGAATGATTGCAGATTACAGCCTAGGGTGTGCAGATTATAGCGAGGAAGGGGCAGAGCTGGGGATTAAACCCAAGCCCATCTGGTGCTTGAGCCCCTGCCTCTCACCATTGTGCCATCCTGTGTCCCAGGCACCAGGCTGGAGGTCCTTGAAGACGCAGCCAGATGTGATGTGACTTCTCAGACGTGACAAAACCAGGGCAAGGACAATTAGGACATTGTCGTGCTATGTTTAGGTGAATAAAAGGGAGAGTCGAGTAGCTTTAGGTAACTCTTTTCTCTTTTTCAGAGCATCTTGCCTTTCCTGATCACCTTCCTTGGCCCCTACAGCTCCTGTCAAGGGACAGAGGTCACAGCATACCTGTTGGACGTGCCGTAAACTTGCTTGACCATTACTGATGGAGCGATTAGGCAACCCTATCCATGTAAACCCTCAGAAGGCTATAAGAGACGAACACATAAATTTGCATTCTTAATATTGGCTTTGATAGCATCCAAACATGCTGAGATATTTTGATCAAATTCAATAAAAATCCATACTCCTTACATATGGTCGGACCACTAAAGGTTTAAACCTGTGTGGTACCAAGTGATGAGCTGGGCTGAAAAATTCACTTATCTATTGTCCTTTTGACCTGATTAGAGGTAGAGTCTGCATCTGGAGGAGGACTTTTACCCCTGGAGCATTCCACCAGCAATAAGGATTAACCACTTCGAATAGCAGTCTCCGCGTAGCCTTCCCTACCGGTGATGGTTTCTCATCCCGACCCAAAATAAAGGAGTAGTGACTCTCATTGAGCAGATGACTTTGCCATGGAAATGACTGGGGAACATTCTCCTTCTGGCTACAGAATTGAAGCCAATTACATGTGCTTGAACGGTATCACTGACTCCCAAGGAAAAATTGGCAGAAAAATCCCCTTAAAACCAGGATGTCTGCTTTCATGGTATTTCTTTTCTTCATTAGGTAGCTACCAATTGATTGCTGGAGTTATGGCTTTAAGCAAGGTTTTGTCATTCTTTGTCGCTTGTACAGTCCAGGACACCCACGACAGTGTTTTAGGGAAGTATAAAATCCGTAGAGCAGAGATATAACAAATAATATGTAGCTGTATTTTTTCCAGAAGTAAAGTTTAGAAGGGGGAATTATATATTTTTAAAGAGCAAGGTGTTTTCATTTTGGAGATTTGCCATGGAGGATTCTGCTTCCCCCCCACCCCCCAGGCCCCTGCCCCAGGAAGTGATGCCTCTCTCTGTTCTGACTTTACCTTCCCAAATGCCATCTAGGTCCACGATCTGGGACAGGGCATTCTTCTTGCATCCTGGCATTTCTTCTCCTCCATTGGGGAAGAAGTCAAGGTGACCCATCTCTTGGCTTGCTCCAAAACCTGAAAGGTTTGGAACAGCAATGAGCTTTTCACCCTACAGGGCTCCCTTGGTTAAAACACAATGGCACATGCTTGCAGCTGAAGCGTCATTGGACTCACCCAGGAAGGGGATCAGGGGGGCTGCATCTGTGTGAATCACATCAACAAAGTCAGCATCGGTGGGATCCAGTCGAACCTCTTCAGGAGTACCCTGGAAGCTTGCTTCTACAGGATCCAACCCTAAAAGAGATGACCAGTGCTGCAGACCAACAGACCTGGCTATGGGGACCAGCAGGACCACGGGGTACAGTTGCTCAGGCTACGCATTGTTCAACCCAAGGGATGTCATATTCTGCAGTGCTATGACCCTGTGCATGGGATATAGGGACAGAGAGTTTCAATATTTCTCCTCAGAAGAGGGCTCCAGTGCATGGATAAAGAAAGGCAGGTGAGGGGCGCCTGGGTGGCTCAGTGGGTTAAGCCGCTGCCTTCAGCTCAGGTCATGATCTCGGGGTCCTGGGATCAAGTCCCACATCGGGCTCTCTGCTTGACAGGGGGCCTGCTTCCCTCTCTCTCTCTGTCTCTGCCTGCCTCTCTGTCTACTTATGATCTCTCTCTGTCAAATAAATAAATAAAATCTTAAAAAAAAAAAAAGGCAGGTGAGCCAAGAGATTTACATTTGTCTGACCAAGGATTTTTCCCCCCCATTACTTTCTCCCATTCACTTGCAGATCTTTCTTCTTTAGAGTTTTTTTTCTTCTTCTCAAGTTTGAAGAAAAAAGGGACAAGATAGTAAAGTATCATAGTTAAGACCACGGATTCTGGAACCAGGCATCCTGGCTCTAAATCCCTACTGAGCTCTTTCTTGGGCAAATGGCATGACCTTGGGCAAATCATGCAACCTTTCCTGGGGGCCTCAGTTTCCCCATTTATAAAACCCGGGTAATAATGTGGTTATACTAAGATTAAATGAGATAATACAGATATAGCTTTTAGCGCAGTGCCTGGCATATCGTCATGGGCATATGAGTAAAATATTGATTTTTATTATTTCTTCCTTCGTGGCAGGGCTCCTGAATTTGTCAATAGCTCTTTGGAGGTCTGGCCAGAGCAGCTGAAAAGGCATGAACATAATTGTCTGTTGAAAATAAAAGGGAGAACTATAAAGTAGAGGCTTGCTTGAGCCGCATGACTGCAGAACTGGGTTTGAATCTTAGTTCCGCTCCTGATTCATTGCATAATTTGGGGCCGGCTATCCAATTTCCTGAGCCTCTTTCTTTAGCTCTGAGGATTCAATGAGAAAATATAAGGCCCTTGGCATAGCATTTGGGGTAAACAGGCATTTTGTCTAAGCTTGCTATGATAATGACCATAGCATTATAGTATTATGATGGTATTATGTAGATGTATTTTGTTGTTGTTATTACAAATTAAAGGCTTTGCCTGGGTTAAAGGAATGCTCTCTAGGACTGGTGGCTGGGTTTCCTCTACCAGCAGAGGCAAAGGAAGGCTGTGACTCTGCCCTTGATTTCAAAGAGAAGGGGGAAGGGACTAACAACGTAGACTCTTAATTATGTTTGTTCGTGTTCACACTAGCTTTCCTCTCCGTTTTCTTGGGTGCCCGGTCCTGCTGAGCCCACACTCTCAGGAAACACGGATCTAGAGAGGAAGGATGGGGACAGAAGCGGAAGAGGCTAAAGGGGAAGAAAGGGGGACGAAAGCACCCTTTGCCCTTCTACAAAGACAGGCCTCTTGGGGGCGTCCTGAAATGTCCTGTGCTGGCTCTAAGTGACTCTGCCACAGCCGAGGGGACAGACTACTTTGGGCCAGCTTTTAGCTGGCCTGTAGGTTTGCACCACATTCTGGGGCTACTGGGAACAAAACCTGTGGTCCTGCCCTTCAGGCCTTACCTGTAATCCTGCCCAGGCCTGGAGTCCTGCTCCCTGCCTCTCCAGCCACGTGGGCTCCCAGGCTGTGGCCAATGAGGTGGACTTGGGAAGGGGAGTAGCTATAGTTTGCCTGGAGAAGGAAGATGGTATGTTCAGAACATTTTTGTGCTGTGGTTTTTGTAACAGGCCAACCCGACGTGACTCCTCTGCAGAAAACCTTCTGTGGCTCCCACCGCCCTTGGGATCAAGCCCAAACTCATTACAAGGGCCTTGGAACTTTCCTGACTCACCATTCATTTTTCTAGATGCTAGCCAAACCCTAGTGGAACTTTCAGGTCTCAGGTACATCGTATTCCCTTATCTCTGGTCTGGTGTGGACCCTTCTTCCTCTCACTGTCCACTCCCCAGCCACGTGCCCAGCTCATGTCAACACAGCTGGACATCAGCTCTCAACTTAAATGTCTCTCCCTGGGAGACATCCTTAATCACTCCGCCATCCCCACTCCCCCCAGCCTGGATTAGCTGTCCCCCAAAAGTTCCCATTAAGCTCTGTAGCCCCCCCCCCCCCATTAAAACACTGATCACACTCTGTTGTCATGGCAAGTCTTCACCGTGAGCTTCCCTAGGACAGGGATGCATCCCCTCGGCCTCTTAGCAGAGCTCCTGACCCTGTGCTACCCCCTCCCCACAATACTGCAGAACAAACGACATAAAGCTACAAGCGTTAGCACACTGGATCTCAGAGGTGTTCATCCATTTGTATTCATTCGTGGTTCCTCAGAGCTTCCAGAACAAGCACCACTGGTTTTAAGTTTTGCAGGGGTGCATAGATCCCTTGACTTTGTGACAGAAACGGCTGGAGCCTTTATCTGGTATAGAATAGAGTCCGGAGGAATGAGTGACTTCCCTGAGAGGATTAAAGACTTAAAGAATTAGCCCAAATGGAAGAGCAGGGTAGATAAAACCAGCTGAATTGACTGTGATGAATGAAATTCTCGGACATCAACAGGACCATCAACAGGGCAAATGCCCTCCCCCACCGCTTTGGTTCCATGTGGATCTCCCTGGCAATGCTGTGTTTGCCCCACACAGGGTTCGCCTGGTGTTGGGTGGGGGGGCCCTTGGAGCTGGACAACTCTGGTATTACCCTGTGCTGTGCTTTGTGGGGGAAACCCTTTGACCCTCTTTGGCCTTAGTTTTTACATCTGCTGATAGAAGATGATAATAATAATCCCCACCCCCAAGTATTAGCTATTACTGACTTTTCTTCCGCTGCTGTGTCATTATTAAGGCAAATTCCAATTATAGAAGTAAAATTCTGAGACAAATACCAGTTCCAGTTCTTTTTTAAATACCTAACTCCCAGCTGCATCTTTAGCCCACAGAGGCCAGCGGGTGCTGCCTCCCTCAGCAGCGGCGCCGCCGGCGGACTCACCGAGAGCATGCCGAGCAACTGGGCCACCTGCGCGCCCACCACCCGCACGTTGTTGGCGGCCTGCGTGTACGTGGTTTTGGAACCTTTCTTCCAGTCCACACAGATGCAATTCACCTCCTCGACCTTGAACATGTTCTGGTGTTGGAGAAATGCCAGGATGTTATCACGGGAGCACGCGAAACCGCATCCAACCAAGGGCTCTGAAATGGTCGCTAAGGGTTATTGCTAAGGGTTATTGTGTCTTTTCCTCGCTGGGGCACTGGGACACACTGGGCTTTGTTAGGAAGCCTGCCGTCAACTGGGAATGAGCCCTCAAAGAGCTTGCTACAGGAAAGGCAAATCCATTCCCTCTCTAGCTGGCAGATTAATTCCAAGCTGGCCACACCCTGGTTTTCTTTGACCAAATTCAGTAAAGTTGATCGAGTGGTGTGGAAACAAGGGCATCGTTAGAAGAGCCGTGTTTGGAAGCAGCAAGCTTTCGAGTGCCCTCTCTGATGGCCAGGGTCTAAATGACCTTGTGGATTTGACCTCTAGCCATCCTCTTAGCCTCGTGGCAATGCTGCCAATCACTGACCTTGCCTTCACCCCAGGCGGCTGGGCATTTTAAGTTTTGACGGTCAAGATAGCACAGTATTTTGTGGAGGAAACACACCGAGCAGCTACTTGAAAAACAAAACGGCACTGACTTAAAAGAGATTGAAGAATTCTTAATGCGAAACTTCTTCCAGGATGTCAGAGAAGCTGATCTATCCTTAGACCATCCCGCCAGGCAGTACTCGTGACCAGCTTGAGTTTAACATGGTGCTATGAATTTAAAATCCACTTAGAATTGTTCACATATGTGGGGCACCTGGGTGGCTCAGTGGGTTAAAGCCTCTGTCTTCGGCTCAGATCATGATCCTAGAGTCCTGGGATCAAGCCTTGCATCGGGCTCTCTGCTCAGCAGGGAGCCTGCCTCCCTTCCTCTCTCTGCCTGCCTCTCTGCCTACTTGTGATCTCTGTCTGTCAAATAAATAAATAAAATCTTAAAAAAAAAAAAAAAGAATTGTTCACATATGTGATACTAATAAGTGTGGTCGCACACACAGAGAGACCAAGAGCTGTTTCTCAGGACCTTTCTTTTTAAAGTGTCCCTGAGGAATTTCTTACAAACTGGAGAAATTTGGGGGTGTAAACTGTATCTTACAGTTTATGCACTAAGATCCTTATTAACGAGGGGCCCCTGGGTGGCGGTGACTCAGTCAGTTTAGAAACTGACTCTTGGTTTTGGCTCAGGTCATGATCTCGGGGTTGTGGGATTGAGCCCCACGTGGGGCCCCGCTCTCAGTGCAAAGTTGTCCTGGGATTCTCTCCCTCTGCCCCCCGCAAATACATAAATAAAATCTTTAAAAAGAAGATACTTATTAATGATGGGAAAGAAGAGGTGGCAAGAGCTAAATGCCTGATAAATCAAGGTCAAGTGCAGAATGACTTTAATTTTCTAGGTTTGTAACTTTCCCTGTGGGCATTATAGATGGGAATCATAATTTTTTTATTTATTATTTATTTGACAGACAGAGATCACAAGGAGGCAGAGAGGCAGGCAGAGAGAAAGGAAGGGAAGCAGGCTCCCTGCTGAGCAGAGAGCCCGCAGGGGGGCTCAATCCCAGGACCCTGGGATCAGGACCTGAGCCGAAGGCAGAGGCTTAACCCACTGAGCCACCCAGGCGCCCCATAGGTGGGAATTATTAATGTGAATGGAAGGTGGGCTGCTAAGGTACATTCTTAGGTGTCTGAAAAATAGGTTGCATCAACGTATGCACAAAAGGAAAGGATGATGGTATGTCACATATCTGTGATGTGCCTGTGCATGTGTGTGTGTGTTCTTCCACTTCCTGTCCTTCTAACCAATAGATGCTGTCTTACATACAGTTTTGGCACTTTCTATTCTGCCATTTCGTCTCCTGGTCCATGGTAAGTTCTCCATTTCTCAAATAAATGGTTGTAGCAACACATTATCTCAGGGAATTGGGAGAGGCTTGAACAAAAAGAACATAATCCCTCACTTACAGGCAAACGAAACGCCCTCACTAAAACCAGAAGCATATCTTTGGCCCTGATTTAGCCAGAAGTAAGATCGTGGACATGTGTGCCCGCACAGCCAATGCCACCGCTTAAGGCCATGGATGTGGTCCAGAAATGCGGAAGTCAATTCTTATTTTTTGCAAAGAGAGGCATTTTAATTGCATAAAGGTAATCTCCTATGTGGGGATTCCATGTTTTCAAGCTCATCTGCTGTGCTTGCTGAAAGGGGCGGGAGGTGTTAGGGGATGGGGTTGGGGCGGTGAAGGGGAGCAGACCGCGGGGCTGGGAGCTGGCCCCTACCTTGCACATGTCCAGCAGCCAGCTCTCTTCTCCCTTGTCTATGAAGCCATGGATGATGAACCGGGTCTTCCTGTCTGTTTGAAAATTTGATGCCTCAATGGTTGATGGATCAGAGAGAAGAAGAGTCTGTGACAAAAGCAGAGTTTTGCATTTTTTTGCAGCCCAGCCACTTTGCCAGCCTCTCCTTCCCCATCTCTGCCTGTCCCAATGCCATGATCTTTCTGAGCTTAGAACAAAAGCCACCTCCTCCAGGAAGCCCGCCCTGACTCTCCCTTTCCTGCCTGCTTCTGCCCCCATTCCACCCCTGCTCAGTCAGGTATTACTACCTCCACTGGGGCTGGAATATAGCTCACAGTCTTACCTTCCACAGGGTTCTTGGTAGATGGCAAGCTCTTGGCCCCAGACCAGACTCTCATAACCAGTTAGAGGTTCTGGCAAATGTGAACCATTCATTCTTTCGAGCCAACATTTTACAGAAGACCTACTCTCTCCAGGTCTGGCTAGGCCCAGGGAACAGCTGGAGGGATAAGGTGGGACAGAACATGGTGGGGGAGGAGGGTACAGAGGCAAGGAACTTTTGGTCTGCAGGGTGGGCACTACCCCTCCCCCAGTCACAGTGACATTAATATGACAGAGGTCTCACCTGAAAGTTGTCTGGGTTCTCGTTGGTGTAGAGCAGGAAGCGGGTGCCGATTTTCTCAGGGCTCCAGGGGAGAACTTTCAGGGGTCTGATAGCAGTCCCGGCCCAGGGTTCCGAGTCAGAAAAGCACCCGATTTGTTCATAGCAAACTTCCTTTGCTGTAGAGAAAGGATGAATCTGCTCAGGGCTCAGCTCCCCAGACTCTGGGAGGTCACAGCTGTTGGGTCCTCACTCCCTTGCCTGGGGGACAGCCTGAAGACAATGGAGACACCCTGCCTCTCTTCTCACTCTCAGGGCCACCCTCTGATCTGGGACGAGTGCCACTGAATCCCACAGAGACCCCAGCTGTGCCGCTGCTCAAAACCACCATCAGAGCAGAAGCAGTGTCCCACCCCACCCTTGACTAATGGGGTAGGGCACACCGACAAGTCAGTATGTTAACCCAGGCAGGTGTTTAATGCTTTACCTAGAAAAGTCAAGCCTAGAGCACCTGGACATGAAGACAGCTCAGTGCAGTGATGCTCTGAAGTGGGTCCCTGTCAAAGTGCCTACACTCCCAGGCAGAGTATCAGCCCCACCCCCCCGCCCCACTACCCCCCCCCCCCCTGGAACCTCAGGGTCATTTGGAGCCACTGAAAGCCCTGCCCTGCCCCGGGTTAGGCTTTCTTTGGCCAGTGCTGAGATGCCGCATTTAAGCCCTTCCCAAGCGGCAGGTGCGATGTTTCCTACCTTTGACTGCTCCCAGCAGAAAAAGCGCGATTGTCCAGAGGATCTCCATCTACAATAAATTCGGACATTCTCAGCCTCACCAAACATTACCAGAGCAATGAGCACAGAATCTCAGAATTCAAGGCTCTCTGCTTTAAACCCTGCTGGGAGGATGCAAAGGGGACTTACCCTGTGGGACAGTCCAGGCCTTCCCTCCCTCTAAGTCAAGGACCCAGGCCTTCTTTTTATACTGGGGCCTTATCATCTGGAGCCACTTCAAGGAAACAGCAATTGATAATGGAACATGCTGTGTGCACTTAGTATTGTAATCTGCCCAAACACACAGAGCAAGGCTAGTTACAGCCGCCAAATCTTCCCACAAGTCTGGGAAGATGAAAGAATGCTTCATTCGAAGTAGATGAAAGTTCCCTACCTTGGTACCTATGTACCTGTATGGGTAATTAGGAGCCAAGTGGGCCCCACTTTCTCATTTTCTATTTGTTCACCAAGTAGCTTACGCAGCCCAGGAAGGACGCGGCTTCAAGCCCTATTAGTGGAGGCGGCATTTCTCACTGAGAATGGATGGGCATGCCTCCCCCAATAGCTGAAAGTTCTGATCAAGAAAATCTCCTCTCTCAGTCTGTCTGTCTGTCTGTCTCTGTCTCTCTCTAAAGCTCTCTCTCTGGCAGTCTAGTACCCGAGCACAGGAGATTTGGAGACAGATTCAGGAGCCCTGACAGGAGCTTATGACATGAGCCCTTACAGGAGCCTATGACATAATCCCCGTTAACTACCTGTTCCAGTGATCAGTTGCTAAGTAACGAATCAACGCAAAATATAATGGTTTAAAACAACAACTGTTGCTCTATTATCCTATTAAGATTGTGAAGAGTTAGGCTCGGGAGCCTCGGAAAACCTACGTCATCAGGCCACGTCACGTCTGTGGAATTTCCCCAGACGCTCTGAAGCTTGCACACCTGTCCTACGAGACCAGGCCCCAGCGAGGCCATCATGAATGACCCACTGACCTGTGCATCTGTGAGGAGCCTGGCCAGTTCACACCACAGGCAGATAAGCCTTCACATGGCAAACACCACTGGTGCCCTAGCACCCCCACACCAAGTTAAATATGCCTGAATATTAAAGTTCATGTCTCCCTAAAGAACCAAAATTCTGGAAGATTCCAGAAAAGACTCCTCCTGGGGTCATAAAGAATAGCAGCCAATGGTCACCGAAGCTTCCTAGGGCAGTCAGAGCACTGGGCATGTATTACCTAATTTATGTCTTCAACAACCCCATGAAGTGAACATCATTAGTTGTCCACCTTTTTGAGTGTGGAAACTGAGGCACAGAGAGATAAGTAAATTGCTTCATTCTGATAAACTCACCCAGGAAATGAGTGATGGGGTGGGATTTGAATTCAGACCAAACAAAGTGAAATAAGGACTCATTGAACATTCAGTTAATCTGAGCAAGTTGTCTATCAGAGTTGTTGAGGGTCAACCACAGAGAATAGGGAAGATATGTAAAGAAAATAGTTGAAATAGAAAAAAACGTTTCCCCTGCAGCGGCAGACTTGAGTCGTATGTGATGAGATATAAAACTTTGGAAGTCTACTCATGTGGTCTAGGAAGATGCTGGAGCAATTTATAGACTGTGATGAAGTCAAAGGCATTTATGCTTTTCTTTGATGTTGCAGTGAAGAGATTCATGATAATGTAATGGTGGATGAGTAGGTAATCTGGTTGGTAGGCGATGTCAGATGACCCTGTCTGCCTCTTGGACCTCTTCTCCTTACCTTCCACATTGGCCTCATTGGCTACCATGAAACATGCCAAATCCTTTCCTGCCTCAGGGCCTTTGCACTTACTATCCCATCTCTAAAACTCTCCTCCCTAGACTTTCACTGGGCTGGATCCTTCTTGTCATTCAACAGTTAGTTTAAATGCCACCTCTTTAGTGAGTCCATCACTGAGCGCCCCTGAAGCCCTTTCACTGTCATCCTCCTACCTGATCCCAGACCCCAGTTCCCTAGCACCTTCTGTGTTTCCTTCAAATCACTTGTCATGGGTTATAATTATCTATCTTATTCACCTGTTTATTTTTCTGCAATCACATTTTCCCACCTTGCAATGCAATTCCATGAGGACCGAGGGACAGAGACCTCATCTGTTTGGGCCGGTGCTATGACTCCAGCCTCTAGAACCATGCCTGGCACTGAAGTGGTTATTAATTAATGAAAGGATGAATGTACACATGGATGGAATTCCTTGGCAATTTACCCTTGTTCTGAGAGTGCATTTCAGGGCTGGGAAAGGGGGCTAGGACACTGTTTAAAGGAGTGGAAAAAAAGAGAAGTTGGTCTTCTGATGAGCAGTCAGAATGGAACTATCTTATTAGATTTAGGGAAACAGTCATCACATGATCTGCTATGATTTGCCTGGAGGGTCAGGTCCCCAAGCCTGTTCCCCCCTGCTCACCTCACTGCTAGTTCATCTCTGGGCTCCACGCTTACCCCAAGGGAAAGGCCCTGCTTCAAGGGTGCGATGGCTGAAACTGCCTCAGGGTGATCAGAGTTGATGGAGAAAGCCATCATTACAAGAGGGTTTACCTGCAGCAGCCACGGGGGTCTGGCGGTGACAGTCAGTGTGAGCTCTGGCCCTGGAAGATAGGGACACGGGCGTTCAGAGAGTAGTTTTCTTTCTTAAAAAAGTTGTATTTCGGGGCACCTGGGTGGCTCAGTGGGTTAAAGCCTCTGCCTTCGGCTCAGGTCATGATCTCGGGATCCTGGGATCGAGCCCGGCGTTGGGCTCTCTGATCAGCGGGGAGCCTGCTTCCCTTCCCCTCTCACTGCCTGCCTCTCTGCCTACTTGTGATCTCTGTCTGTCAAATAAATAAATAAAATCTTAAAAAAAAAAAAGTAAAAAAAAAAGCTGTATTTCACTCATGTTTGTAAATGGGTAATGCACGCTTCTCCATACATATGGTATGTTACAAAGTTAAAATGGTTCCTTTACCAGCTCTTTGTGTGTCCTTCCAGAGATATGTCTATACATAGTATATTTTACCTAAAAATATAAATGGTTGGGGCACCTGAGTGGCTCAGTTGGTTAAACATCCAACTCTTGGTTTTAGCTCAGTCATGATCTCAAGGTCTTGAGATCACACCCTACCTTGGGCTCCTCGCTCAGCATGGAGTCTGTTTAGGATTCTTTCTTTCCCTCTCCCTGTGCCCCAGCACCCACCACCCCCCACTGCCTCCAGTCACATGCATGTGCTCGCTCTTTCTCTCTCAAATAAATAAATACATTTTTAGAAATAAAGATACATAAATAAAAATATAAATGGTTAATATATAGTACACACTATTTTGCAACCTGATTCCAAAATATTAACTGTGGTCCTGAAAATCACTCCTTATCAGTGCATATGGATCTGCTTCAATATTGTTTCCAGCTACACAGAATTCCAATATTTGGATATTCATCAACCCTCTTCTGATGAACATTTGACTGTTTTTAATCTTTTAGTATTAAAAACAATGCCTTAATGAATATTCTTACACATTTGTCATCTAGAAGGACAGTGTATCTGAAGGATGAATTCCTAGAAGTTAAATTTAAAGGTTAAAAGACATGTACATTTAATATGTTGATAGAAGTTGCTGCCCCAGGTTTCATCATCTGAATTCCCTGTGTATGTTGGCTACTCTCCCCACCCTACTCTTGAAGTAATAGTGAAGTAGAGACCATGAGTTATTTCAACAGTCAGCTTTTAGAAGTATGCTAGTTATGGTTCTTTTGGTTGTAAGCAACAGAAATCAATTCCGGCTAGCTAATTTTTTTTTTTTTAAAGGAGAGATGTATTAGAAGATATTGCAGCATCACATGCAATCCATAAAGTTGTTAAACCATGAGACGTAGGGAAGCCCCCCAAATGGGACCACCCTAGAAACCTCAGCAGGTTGCCCTCAGATCCTTTCTGTCTTGGACCTGATACTGATGAAGGCTGTGTGCATCTCAGCCCAGAATTTTTATTTACCAGACAATTGGCTTGGTTAGGTCAGAAACTGTCCCCCAATTAATTAGCAATGGGATATGGATCCTGCCCCAGGGGACCAATCCCTGTGCACCCAGACATGGAGTTGAACCTGTGAACTGGGCAACTGCTACAAGAGGGGTGTGGGTCTGCAGTAAGAAAATAACAATCCTGAATCAGCTGACTCGCATTCTGTACAAAAGTGCAGTTGGTGGCTCAATGATGACAGGTGGGAGATTTCTTTAAAAGTACCGCTTGGGTTTGCCACACCTTACAGTCGTGATCCTTATGAGTTATCAAGAGTGAATGATGACTGTGGAGCCTGGATCTCCTGATCAGGAAACCTGATCAGGACCGTTGTGTTGTTTTAGTATATGTGCTGCCGAAGCGAGCACCCGTTGTGTTGTTTTAAGGTAAGAAGCAGCAGCCCTGTGTTCATTGGCCTCGGTTGTTCTAGATGAAGCGAACTGTACTGAACCACTCTACTTTCTGCAAAAGTCAAAAGCAAGTGAACCAAAAAGGAGCCCTCACTTCTGACAACAGCAGTGAGGTCAAGGCAGTATGAGAAGTCCAGAGACAAGGTCAGCCTGACCCATGGCTAGGAAAACCCTCCTGACCCCTGACTTGGCCCCAGACTTCAATGGGGCAGACAAGCAAGTTAGGGATGATGGGACGGATGGTGAACATGGCCACAGTTTTTCACCCCCTCTCCCTCCCCCACCCATGCCCTTTGCAGGTGATCTTCCCATCAACAACTGGAGTCTTTTCCCCCCATACTTGTAACTGGGCCAGTTGTGTGACTTGGTTTGTCATTAAATGTGATGGCAGCAACATCGTGGACCAGCTCAGAGCTATCCAACCCCAAGCACGTGAGACATGCAGCCAAGATTAGCAGCACTGATGACTCAACCCACTCTGACCAAAGACACGTGAGAGAATCCAGCCAAGAACAGAAGAAGCACCCAGCTAACCTGGAGATTTGTGAGTGCTAATATATGCCTACTGTTGGAAGCCATCGAGTTGGTGATGGTGTGTTATGCAGCAGTAGCTAAGCAGTACAGGAACCCGGCTGAGCCAGGCCAGGGATTGGGAGAGAACAGTTCTCATTGAGCTCACTGGTGCCATTCTTGGGCACGCGGCATCAGATGAGGGTGTGTTCTTTCCTAACACAGGGA